GAAAAATAGATAAAGTGTTGAAAACAGGAAGTTTATTTTGATGTGTTTAGGGGACATCTGTAAATTGCAGTTTCACTCTGTTGGACAAAGAAAAGTTTATACCAACTATTCTTTTCTACATTGTGACCTGTAATAGAATAAAATATTTATTTTTAGAATGGATTCATTAAACATCTGACATATCAACACTATGTGTTCGTTATAGGCTCGTGTCAAGCAGTTAGATTTGTTTGACCGTTTTTATAACGATGACGTTGTCAGTGGAGAAAGTAATACTTTGTATATAGTATACGTAGTTGTGGTTATTTATACATCAGAAGCCCACTTCTGCAAAACGTCTCTGTGATCTTAATAAAAATAACCTGAACTGAAACTCTGATCAGAAGTGTGAGCCGGAGTTTCCTTTGTCCAACGCTCTAACACGTCTTTGAATGAGGCACTCTGAAGCAACTTTAAGCCCAAAAGCAGTTTGGAAACATGTTTTTTCATGTGAACATTTATGTTCTGAATCGAGTCGAGGTTGGTGCACGTTTCCTTTTCCTGTGGGTTTATCGGTGTGGAATAATCACACAGTCTGCTGACTGAAGCTGTGGCCCAGGATCCAAAATGGCAGCGCAGGGCCCTCCTGACGGGCACAGATCCGGTGGAGTTGCCTCCTTCGGTTTCCGAGGCGTGTTCGGGTTTTGTCGTTTCAGCTCTGGGTCTCTCACACAAAAACAAAAACGGTGAAATCAAAGCTGTGGGATTCTTCGCCCGGCGGTGGGGACAGTGTTGGCTTTCAGACGTATGAACGTGCTCCAGGTGTGCTCGGTTTATTGTTCCTGTCGTGTAAACACCCAGAACAGTGAGGGTCGGCTAAGTGGGCGGTAAGACGTATATTAAATGCTTATTAACAGCTTATTAATGTACATTAAGCGGCTAATGGTGCCGGTCTGTAACAGAAGGTGATTTCTGCTTCATTTAGATCACGTTATGTTTATTTAATGACATTAGAGATTCAGTGAGACATGGACGGTTGGCAAGAGACACGAGGAGACGTGGTCACGATGTCCTGGAGAAAATCTCTCATACTAATCAGAGACTTCATGTGCAGGGAGTTTTCAGCTTTCTTTGTCTAAATTAGAAACATCCTGTCTCAGACAGGAAACACAGCCGTGCATTTGTTATTTCCAGGCCGGACTATTGTAATTCCTTATCAGACGGCTCTAAAACTTCCAGCTCATCCAGAATGAATTGTGCCAGGACTGCAGGCGTGGCGTTCTCGGGTTTTCCATCTGTCTGTTTAGACGTTAACAATGGTGGATGTTCACATTAAACATGGTTATAGTTTCAGATAATGAGGTCAGCGTGTGAACGTTTAATCCCCGTGAGCCAAACACTCGGCTCCGAACGGTGTGATTTTTACAGAGATGAGGGGATTTCCCAAAGGTGAACTCCGCCTCTCGCCACGTGATGGTTTAGATTAGCTCCACCCCTCCCGCCACCCTGAAAGAGTTTAAAGGTGCAATCGGTAATTTTTTAGGTTATTTAATAGATAAAAAATAAATATAAGTGTTTAACTCATAAATAATGTAGTTGCATGTTTGAACGAACTGATGCATTGTCATAAACTTAAAGCGGGTTTGTGGATTGTGGAAGCCGCCATGTTGTCCCACCATCTTTGAATACAGCGGCTGTGAAGAGCATCTCTTTCCTGACGAGCTCGGTCTGAGTGGAGGAGAAAAGCAGCTGTACCAACAGCAGCTAACAGCAGCTAACAGCAGCTAACAGCAGCTAACAGCAGCTAACTGCTGCACAAATGGCAGAGCTTACCAACAGTTCAGCCTGTCCTCAAAAACTCAGTTTGTCTGAATCACGTAATTCCTGTCAGACTGATGGTGTTGGTCGGGCGCTTCTCACGCAGCATTGTCAGCTGAGGTAAACGTTCAAACTTTACCCACTGAAACTTTAAGAAGTGTCTGGACTTCCTGTGTCACGGGGGAGTCCACAATCTGCTCTGTAAAGTTCATAGTTTAAACTGTTTTTATATCAGTTTAAACCATGACACTGGCGCCACCGGACACTAGTGCCCGGTGGTGCCAGTGTCCGGCAGCCTCGCCTCTGTCAGTGCGGCCCAGGGTGGCTGTGGCTACAATGTAGCTGCATCACCAGTGTGTGAATAGAGATTGACCAACCACGTGACTTTCGCGCATTGCATGTAGCAGTGACAATAATATTGTATGCTGTAATCGTACTGGGCAATTAGTGATACAAAACAACTGTTTTACAACAACTGTCAATGTACCATGGTAATAACAGAAGCGAAACGCAATATTCTGTCAGGACAATTCACTGTTTATGCACAATAAACAAAGGAGCGACAATTTCTGTTCAGCGCCAGACTTGCTTGTAACCTATATCACCAATTATGTTATGAAAAATGACGTATTAACTACAACAAAACACTGACCTTTGAGGGAATGCTTGGAGCAGACTAACCTGTGAGCTGGATGTTCTGGGACGTTATATTTGGTCTTTGAATGGCTGCAATCCAGGCCA